CAGCACTTGGGAGGCAGAGGCAGGCGGATTTCTGAGTTAAAGGCCAGCCTGGTCTACAGAGTGAGTTCCAGGACAGCCCAGGCTATAAAGAGAAACCCTGTCTCGAAAAACCAAAAAGAAAGAAAGAAAGAAAGAAAGAAAGAAAGAAGGAAAGAAAGAAAGAAAGAAAGAAAGAAAGAAAGAAAGAAAGAAAGAAAGAAAGAAAGAAAGCCTAAAATGGGTGTGCACCATACACCTATAATCCCACCTAAAACCCACAGCATCAGGAGTTCGAAGTCATCTTTAGCTTTATAGAGTCAGTGGCCATGCTGGACAACTTGAGACCTACAACAGGAAAAAAAAACTATCCAAATAAACAGACAAAAACAACTTAGACGACAAACAAACTAGCTGGTCTGGAACTCAAAGATGCATGCGCCTCTGCCTCCTGAGTGCTGGGATAATGGACACTGACCACCAAGCTCAGCCCGTTTGTTTCAGTTTTGAGATGGGATCTTACTACCTCTTGGCCGGAAGGGTTTTAAACTTATAGACTCAAATGATCTTCTTGCCTCAGCCTCCAGAGTAGCTGCTAATACAGGCACGTTGTCCCACTGGCTTCTTACTTGTAATATTATTATCTACTTTCTCTCTGTCTCTACAGCTGCCTCCTTCCACTCAAAAATAGCAAACTAGAAAAATCCACTTCCTAGCTGGAGAGATGGCTCAGCAGTTAAGAATGCTTAACTGCAGAAGACACCCAGCAACCTCATTGGCTGGATCCCAATCACCTGTGACTCCAGCTCCAGGTGATACTTTCTTTTGACCTCTGTAGGCACCTGCATACCTGTGAATACACACACTACACACACACACATACACACAAATAAAAACCCACTTCCTTGGGTGTAGTAAGGCACAAGCCAGAAATCCCTCCAGTTTGCGAGGTGGAGGTAGAAGGAAGATCATTGCAAGTTTGAGGACAGCTGAGGTTAAGTAGTGAGTCCTATACAAGCCAGGGTTACATAGTCACACTGTTTCTCAAGAAAACAAAAGTAGTCATAAAAATCAATCCACTTCCTCAAGTCAGGGAACGTATAGCTCAAGTGACAGAGCATTTATTTGTCTCTGGTGTGCAAAGCCTTGGGTCCAGTCTCGAGCAGCACACACATGCTCTCCAATCATCCCTCCCCTAAATCCATCCCATAATCATGCTAGTAGTGCTCGATGTTCTGACCTTTTAGTGCTCCTTGCTCTGAGTCAACTATTCTCTTACACAGACCAGGAAATGGAGACTAAAAAACAAATCTCGGTTGAGTAGCAGAGTGGGATGGTGCATGCCTGGAAGTCTAGCATTAGGGAAGCTGAGGCAGGACCACCAAGAATCGAGTTAGTTGGGTGTGGTGTTTCACACCTGCAATCCTAGCACCTGACACAATCCTGCTTCAGTCGTGCAAGTTTGAGGCTAGTCTGGTCTACAGAGTGAGACCTCTTCTCAAAAGAAGTAAAGCCAGATTGGTGGCTCATAACTATGATTCCAGCACTCTTAGGCAGGTTTCTGAGTTCAAGGCCAGCCTGGTCCACAACAGGAATTCCAGGACAGCCAGGTCTATATAGACCCTGTCACAAAAAAAAAAAAAAAAAAAAGGAGGGACTGGAGAGATGGCTCAACCATTAAGAGCACTTGCTGTTCTTCCAGAGGACTCAGTTTGATTCCCAACATGGGAACATGGAGATTCCTGTCTGTAACTCCAGATCTAGGGGATCTCCTCTTTTCTAGCTTGTGGACAGGGTACACAGACATACACACAAAACGTTCATACATATTAAATAAAATTTAAATTTAAAAATAAATAAAGGGGCTGGTGAGATGGCTCAGTGGTTAAGAGTACTGACTGCTCTTCTGGAGGTCATGAGTTCAAATCCCGGCAACCACATGGTAGCTCACAACCATCTGTAATGAGATCTGATGCTCTCTTCTAGGGTGCCTGAAGACAGCTACAGTGTACTTACATATAATAAATAATAAATAAATAAATAAATAAATATAAATAAATAAATAAAATGATCCTTTAATTCATGGGTTCTTTAAAATAAATAAATAAATAAATAAATAAATAAAAATAAATAAAATAGCCAGCATTTGGGAGTAAGAGGCAGGCAGATCTCTGTAGATTTGAGCCAGCCTGGTGTACATAGTTCCAGGATAGCCAGAGGTATATAGTGAGACCCTGTCTTGAAACAAAACAAAAACAAATAAACAAATAAAAAATCCCAGGGCCCATAAAGCTAAGAAATGACAGAACCAGAATTTGAGCCTCTGGTTGGAATGACTGGGGAACAATGGCTTGTAAAGAACCTCTCAACCAGGAAGCATAGAGTGGGGAAACAAAGAGGGAGCCCCAGAAAGAAGGGTTACAGAACCTTGGGATGATAGTGTCTCCTTCATAGGCCTCCAGTGCCACCTGCTGGCAGAATGACCAGGGCCATACACTGGATTCCAGAACATGGAGAGGAGAAAAGAAGAGGAAAAGGTGAGAGGCAAAGCATGAAGTAAGGGGCCTGAGAGATGACATAGCGGTTGAGGTTGCAAAGGACCCTGGTTTGATTTCCAGCACTCACAGCCTTCTATAATTTCAGTTCCAGGACTCCAGGGGATCTGATGTTCTGCTCTGAACTCCGTAAGAACCAGACTCACACATCAGAGATACGCAGGAAGAAGGATATAAAGAAAAAGGAGGAGGAGAAGGAGAAGGAGGAGGAGAAGGAGAAGGAGAAGAGGGGGAGGGGAGGGGAGGGAGGAAGGAGAAGAGGGAGGAGAGGGAGAGGGAGAGGGAGAGGGAGAGGGAGAGGGAAAGAGGGAGAGGGAGAGGGAGAGAGGGAGAGAGAGGGAGGAGAGGGAGAGGGAGAGGGAGAAGA